AAGTTCTCTTTTTATCCTCTTATTTTTTGTCTCTTTCCTGCTTTCTCTCGTCCTCCTTCCTGCAAAGCCTTTTCCGTCTGCCTCAATTTCTACTTCTTCTTCCTCTTTTCTTCCCTTCCCTGCTTTATTCCTTCTTCTTTTCCCTCCTCCTTCTCCCTTTACCTCTCCTCCTTCCCATCATCCTCTCTTCTTCCTCTCCCTCATCCTGCCTTATCCGCACACCCTTTCTCCCCATTAATCCCCTTCTTCCTTCTCCTTATCTTCCTCCCGCCTACCAACGCCTAACCTATTGGTCTCCACCTCTCTCCACTCACCTCCTCCTCCCCCCGTTCCTCCTCACTCCTCTTCCTTCCGGCACCCTCGCTTCCCATCATCACCCATCTTACTTCCTTCTCCTCATCCTCCTTTCCCCACTCCCCTCCCCCACCATTACCCCCTACTGCCCATGCTCCTCCTCACTCACTGCCTCCCCCTCCTTCTCCCCTCCTTTTCTCTACGTCTCTCATCCACTCAACTCGACGGCACGCACGCAATAGGCCACGCGATCCATTACCCTTCTTCTTCCCTCTACCTCTCCCTCCTCCTCCTTCCAGCCACCCTCTCATCGCTCAGTCATCCCACCTCTTCTTCCTTCTCTCACAAATACGACGCCTATGAGAGCACATCCTCCTCATCCCACCGCCATACCCGCAACTCAAACATTCCACACTCTCCTAATCCCTCCTCCCACATCCTGCTAGCCAACACACACATACGCACCAGCCGCTATCTCCCACCCTCTCTCCCAACTCACCTCCCCCATCCATTCCCTACGTCCGCTCCTCATCCTCAATCCTCCTTCCCCTCCCTCCCCCGTTTCCTCCACCTCTCTCCTACTCAACACCCTCCTCATCCCCTCTCTTCCTCTCCCTCAATCCTCCTTTCCCACACTCCCCTCCCGCCGTTTCTCCACCTCTCTCCCACTCACACCTCTCATACACACGCATTCTTTTTTCCCTCTGCCTCCTCTCCTCCTCCCTCCCAGCGCCGTTTCTCTCCACCTCATCTGCCGCACTCACCGTACACACACACTCCGCCACTCACCACACCTATCTCCTACATTAACTTAGTTGCACTCTTCTCCTCCTCCTCCACTCCCTCCCATTATCCTCACACATCACACACGCATATCACATCCTCACTCACTCCACACACCTCTGAACCCTGTGCTTCTTGATGCACCCACTTTACCCTCGTCAACTCACCCACACACCTCTCGCCCAAACACCACATCACCTTGAGCAACCCATACCACCCTCCTCATCCTCGTTTCTTCCCCACTCCCTTCCCCTCGTCATCGCCATTTCCTCCACCCTCTCTCCCACTCACCTCCCTATATCTCCTTTTTTTTCCCCTTGTTCTTCACACACACGTCTATCACATTAACTTACACCTCACGACACTCAGCGCAAGTTTTATCTCTCCGACGAATAAAAAAAGAACTTCTATTCTTTCCTAAACATCATGTTTGGATGAGCTCACCCTCACTTCACACAGCACGTTCACTCGACACTATAACTCCTCATCAATTTTGTGACCGTCAAGATCTCTCTCTCTGCCTCTTAGTCTCTTCTGTCTGTCTGTAATGTCTGTCTGCTGTCTGTCCTGTCTGTTTGTCTGTTGTCTGCCTGTCATGCTCTGTACATCTATTACCTATTTCATCTGATCTTTTATTTATATCTAAGTGTCTAATTCACCACCGATCTAATCTGTCTATACATCTCAACTACTCTAAATTTCACTCAGATCACGATCCACCTAGTCTATTATATCTCTAACTCTGAGTCTAATCTCACATTATTATATATCTATCTATATATCTATCTATTTATTCACATTAACCTGATTTATACAATCCAGTGCTCCTTAACACCAAACTCTTATATTATCTACTCTATGACTCACTCCTAACTCGCTATATCTATCTAATCTTTTTATCACTTCAGTCTATATCATCTACTCTATCAATAAACATCTATAATCACTCCATATCCAGATATAGTCAGTCTTATAATCCTATTAGTACAAACCTTGTTCTACTAAACATTTCAATCTATCTCTACATGCTCACTACTTATACTCGCACACATCTATTACACATGTGTCACTGAGCGCAGTGTGTGCACTACTTTATATTACTCTATTCTTTTCTGTTCTATTCTAAAGGTGTGAGTAAACCATAGCCATATCTATCTATCTACCAGTACATCCAAATTCCCTACTCTATCACCTCTCAACTATCTTCCATCTATAGTCTAATCTAGTCTTTTCTGTCTACAAGCTATATACTATCTTTATTCTTATCTTATCTATCTATCTATCTATCAATCAAATTCCCTATCTATCCCTCTATCTCTCTATCTATCTATCTTGAAAAGCAAGAAGTCAGAAATATTGTCTGGATATAGAAGATTTGTTTATTTATAAGTAAATCAATAAACTTATAAATATGGCTTATAAGTAACAACGATTTCGTTTTAATTCAAGTTTCGATTCTATTCTGAACACTTTTTTTTTACTTAGTTTAATACGATAAGGAATTTGAATGGGGTTTGAAATCCAAGACAAGATCAAAATATATATAAATATAACCGAACATACCCTGCTAGTCTTACCTTTCAGAAATAATTAATGCTATAAATGGTATGCAATTATATCAACTCTAAATTTATACAAAAGTTAATCATCATTACCGGCTTTCTTTTCTCGTTATTATCGTTCATTTCAAAATTCTAGATTCAATTTCCTGGTACATTAATCATCTCGATCATAAGTATAGTTGGATCCTATTGAAAATATAATCTTACTAATTATTTGCTTTTTAATTAGGTAGATAATATATTCTCCAATGTCATTAGTGTGTTGTTGATGTATCGTCTTATGTTGTTGTTTGTTTGTTTATTTATTTATTTAATTATTTATCATTATTATTCGAATTATTATTATATTATTATATTATTATATTATTGTTATTATTTATTATTATTATTATTATTATTATTATTATTATTATTATTATTATTATTATTATTATTATTATTATATTATTATTATTATTATTATTATTATTATTATTATATTTTATTATTATTATTTTTATTATTGTTATTATTATTATCATTTTTTTTAATTTATATTATATTTATATATATCTTTATTGAGACATTTTTCAACGTAATTTATCTACTTATTCTTATGTCCTTTTTATCTTTTTATTAATTAATTTATTTAGTGTTTATCTATCCACTTATTTTCTGCTTTTTTTTCGGTGTTATTCTCTCTCTCTCTCGCTCACTATTTCCCTTTCTATTCCTTCCTTGCCTATCCACCGCTTTTCTTCTCTCTCCCTTCCTTCATCCTTAAGCCCGATAAGCTTTATCCGGGGAAGTAACAGCTCACTTGTGTTCCTTTATTCTCCTTCCGTCTCTCTTCCTTTTTCTTCCTATTTCCACTGTTTTCTTTTTCTATTTTCCCTTAATCTCTCCCTCGCTCCTTTCCCTTCCATATCTTCCTCCTTCTCTTTCGTTTCCCCTTTTCTCTTCCTCTTCATCCCTCTTCCCTTTTCATTCTCCTTCTCTTCTGCTCCTACCTTTCGATCCTCCTTCTTCCTCCTTTCTCCTTCTCCTCTCTTCCTTCTACCTCCTTCCTTCTCACTCTTCTTGGTTCTCCTCTTCTATCTCCATTCTTCCTCACTCTTTCATTTTCCTCATCCTCTCTCCTCCTATACGTATATATGTATATTTATGTATGTATGTGCATCTGTGTATACGTGTGTGTGTATGTATATGTATTATGTAAATATTTATATGTATATGTATTATGTAAATGTGTATATGTATATATGTATGTATATGTATGTATGTTATCAAGGTGTATACGTGTGTGTGTATATGTATATGCACTATGTAAATGTGTATCAGCATGTATTTAAATATCAGTGTATTGTATATATAAATGTAAAGTTATGCAGCTCAGCCAAAACTATATACTTATATACTGTAAATTGTAATGTCGAAATAGATAATAAATAAATAAAATAATTTGAATCTGAATATGAATCCTTATACTCCTTTCTTCCTTATAATTCCTTCTCCATTCCTCTTCTCTCCTCCTCTCCCTCTCCTCCTATCCCTCCCACTTCGCCCATCCTCCCCCTCCCTCCTCCTCCTCCCTCCTCCTCATCCTTTCCCTTCCCCTTCCTCTTAATTCACTTCCTCTTCCTTAATCTTCTCACCTTCCTTCCCCCCTCCTCCCACTCCCTCCTTTCTTCCTTCCCCACTTCCTCTTTCCTCACTCATTCTATCTCCATCTCCGCTACTCCCTCTCCTTCTCATCCCTCCTTTTTCACTCCTCCCTCCCCCCTCATTCCTTCCTCCCTCTCTTGTACCCTTCCACCTTCTTCCTTCTCTCCTTACCTCTTAACCCTCTTTCCTCGCTCCATCCTCCTCCTTCCTTCCCCCTTCCTTACCTTTATTCCTTCCTTGCTACATCCTCCGTCATGCCCACATTTCCCTCTTGCCTCATAGGTAATTTTCTTCTTCCTCCCCTTCCATCCTTCCTCCTATTTCTCTCTCTTCCTCCGTTCTCCCTTCCTCCTACTCTCTCTCCTCTCTTCTCCCCTTCCTCCTACTCTCCTTCCTCTCTTCTCCCTTCTTTCCCTCCCCCTTCTTCCCACTCTCCCACCTTCTCCCTTCCTCTATTTTTTCCCCTTTTCCTCCCTCATCCCCTTCTTACCTCATAGTTAATATTCTTCCTCCTTCCTCCTCCCTTCCCTTTTCCTCGTACTCTCCCTGCTCCCTCCCCTTCCCCATCCCTCCATCCTTCCCCCTTCCCCTCCCTCCTCCCTACCCTCCCTCCCCTCCTCCCTTCCCCCCTCTCCATCCATCCTCCCCCCTTCCCCCTCCCCCCCAATTCCTCCCCCATTCCCCCCATCCTCCATCTCCCCTTCTCCCCATCCTTACCTCGTACACGGCCCCGAGCGGCATCACCAGCGCAGCCACGAGGAGGTCGGCCACCGCAAGACTCAAGATGAGGTAGTTCGCTCCCTCCATCCTCCCCCTTCCCCATTCCCCCATCCCCTCCAATCCCCCCCCAATCCCCACCATTCCCCTCCATCCTTACCTCGTACACGGCCCCGAGCGGCAATCACCAGCGCAGCCACGAAGAGTCGGCCACCGCAAGACTCAGGATGAGGTAGTTCGCTCCCTCCATCCTCCCCTTCCCCCATTTCCCCCCATCCTCCAATCCCCACCATTCCCCCCCCCTCCATCCTTACCTCGTACACGGCCCCCCGAGCGGCGCTCACCACCGCAGCCACGAGGAGGTCGGCCACCGCAAGACTCAAATGAGGGTAGTTCGCTCCTCCATTCTCCCCCCTTCCCCCATTCCCCTCCATCCCCTCCAATCCCCACCCAATCCCCTTCCCAATCCCACCATTCCCCTCCATCCTTACCTCGTACACGGCCCGTGCGGCATCACCAGCGCAGCGCACGAGGAGTCGGCCACCGCAAGACTCAAGATGAGGTAGTTCGCTCCCTCCATCCCCCCCTTCCCCCATCCTCCCTCCATCCATCCTCCCCCATCCCCCCTCCATCCTTACCTCGTACACGGCCCCGAGCGGCATCACCAGCGCAGCCACGAGGAGGTCGGCCACCGCAAGACTCAAGATGAGGTAGTTCGCTACCGACTGCAGGTTCCTCTCCAGGAGAATGGCGGCGATCACAAATACATTTCCCTGGAGGGAGAGAGAGAGAGGTGAGTGAGCGAATGTGGGGAGGGAGGGAGGGAGGGAGGAGGGTGGGTGGGTGGGAGGGAGGAGGTAGGGGGAGGAGGGAGAGTGAGTGAGCGAATGTGGGAGGGAGAGGGAGGGGGAGGGTGGGAGGGAGGGAGGGTGGGAGGATAGGGAGGGAGAGGTGAGTGAGCGATGTGGGAGGAGGGAGGAGAGGGAGGGTGGGTGGAAGGGTGGAGAGAGAGAGAGAGAGAGAGGAGAGAGAGAGAGAGAGAGAGAGAGAGAGAGAGAGAGAGAGAGAGAGAGAGACGAGAGAGAGAGAGAGAGAGAGAGAGAGAGAGAGAGAGAGAGAGAGAGAGAGAGAGAGAGAGAAGAGAGAGAGAGAGAGAGAGAGAGAAAGAGAGAGAAATAATATTGATAAACACAGCAATAAAACAACTAGAAGAGGTCGCAGATACCTAACCTATGGGAGAGACTAATCGAATACGGGAATATAGAGAATACAAAAAATAAATAAATAAAAAGGGAAGGAGAGAATACTGATAAATATGGGAATAAGAGAAACTGAGAAAAAGAATGTTCATAAACATGGGAATAAGAGACAATAAGAGAAGAGTGATAAAGTTGGTGACAGGCAACGAAAAGAAAAAAAAAAAAGTGTAAGGGAAAAGGAATAAGAAATTCAAAACAAGAAACCAGATAAGATGAGGAAAGGTGGTAAAAAGGTATAGATAGAAGAAGAAGAAGAAGAATGATGAAAATAAGACGAAAAAGAGGAAGAAATAATAAGGAGAAATATGATAATAATAATAAGATGAGAGGATGGAAGATTGAAGATGAGGAAGACGAGGACGAAGCAAAAAAAGGAATATAAGAGAAGAAAAATTATAATAGGATGAAGAAGAAGAAAAAGAAAAAGAAGAAAATGATGAAGAATACGACGACGATGAAAAGGAAGAAGAAAGAAGATGAAGAAAAGAGAGGTAAACAAAACAAAGAAACAAAAAAACAACAACAACTGAAAAGACAAGGAAGATGAAGATTTTTTTTTTTTTTTTTTTGAGAAGTAAGACAAAAGGAAGAAGAAAGAAGTACAAGAAAAGTAAACAAAGAAAAAAGAAGAAAAAACAGAATAGACAAGGATGAAGAAAAAAATTGAAGTCAGACATTCATGTTCATCATATAAGTGTATTTAAATCATTATTTTGCTGAATTAGTTGATATTAAATAATTCTATACAGATATGATAATTTGATTTCCATTTCAAACTCTTCAAACTCTTTACCTCCTCATTCATTCACATTTACTAAATCTTAAGATGAGAGAAAAAGAGGTATGAGTATGTGCGTGTATGTATATGTTTACTTGAAGCTTGTGTGCGTATGTGTGTACCTCTGAACGTACATGTAGGTTTGAGAGTTTGGCGAATAAATCATTAATACAGAAATAAAATTCCTCGTGGTCTGTCGTTTCTTGTTTTGCAAACGTGGAAATTCTGCAAAGCATTAGTGTTTATTTGCAAACTTTAATAAGCTTATACATGATGTTATATTGAGGAAATGTTCTTGTATTGACATTTTTGCAGATATTACTGGGTGTTTTTTTTGTCATAGACAGGTTTATAAGCGTAAATTCGCGTGTTTATTCGCAATTATGATGTTTTATACTTTATACTCAGGATCCCTTTGTTTTGGCTGTTCCTTTGAGTTGCCGATTTGTTTATTTACGGATGCTAACACCCAGTTTCCAATTCGTGTTTTTATGCTGTCTGTTTACCATTATTATCCTCTTTATCTCACCCTTTATTTACTGTCATTTCTCTTCTGCTTCTATTCCAGTGTTTATTTATTTATTTATCTATTTTGATTTTTTCCTTCCATTTCTTTCAGACTGTCTATTCCCGTAGTTATTATTTTCCGCTTTCCTCCTCTTCCCGTAGTTATTATTTTCTTTTTCCTCCTCTTTCTCTTTACTGATTTATCTATTTATCTTTTTCTTGTATGACGTCAGGTTGTCTATTACTTTATCTTTTCCACCTCTACTGATTCCTCCTCCTTTCTTCTTTCTTTCTACTCCTTCCACTTCTTTCCTTTGTTATTTTTCAAATTGCCCAGACCTGTTTCTGCCTTCTTACACTCACTCTTTCTCTCTATCACTTTATCTATCATTTTCGACTTTAATTTCTATTCATTTTTTATTACTAGAGGGTGACCAATCAAGGATCTCTCCCTGTCTTCGTATTTCTTCGTCTATTTTCTCAAGTTACCTCTTCTCCTAATCATCATTATTCTTTCTCTCTTTTTCCCACTTGTCTCGTTCTCCTCCTTTTCTCTTTTTTTTCGCCGTCTTTTGTCGTTCCCCCTCCCTCTCCCTCCTTCTTTTTGGACTCGCTTCTCTACTGAATATTTATGTGAGGTGGTGTCTCTGTTCCTCATTCTTTCTCTTTTCTCTTCCTTTCTCCCTTCTTCTCTCTTTGTCTGTCTGTCTGTTTGTCTGTCTGTCTGTCTGAATGCCCCCTCTCTCTCTCTCTCTTCATTCTCTCCCTTCCTCCCCCCCTCCTTCTCACTGTCTACCCATCTCTATCTATCTATCTATCTATCCATCTTATCTACCTATCTGTCTACCCATACTCTATCTATCTATCTATCCATCTATCCATCTCAATCTATCTATCTGTCTACGCATCACTATCTTCTATCCATCTATCCATCTCTATCTACCTATCTATCTCCGTCGTTACCTCCCTCCCTCCCTCTCCACAGTCTCTATGGCCCTCACCCTCCTCTCGTTCCGCCACAACAAACGACAAGATCTCTATTTTCGACACACTTGCGTAATGCTGTGTGTCTGCCCGAAACGAGACAGGAGTGCTTAGCCAGCGAAAAAATAGGGTTGGGGGGGGGAGGGATGGTGAGAGGAGGAGGAGGGGTGAGAAAGAGAGAGAGGAGGTGAGAGGGTGAAGGGGGGAAGGGGAGGGGAGGGAGGAGGGGGGGAAGGGAAGGGATGGGGAGGAGGGGAGGATGAGAGAGAGAGAGAGAGAGAGAGGAGGAGGGGAGAGGGGTGAGGAGAGGGGAAGGGGGAAAAGGAGGAGGGAAGGGAGGAGAAGGGGAGGGGAAAAGGGAAGGGGAAGGGGAGGGAGAGAGAGAGAGAGGGGGAGGGTGGGAGGGAGAGGGGAAGGGGAGAAGGGGGAAGGGGGAGGGGAGGAGGAAGGGGAGAGGGGAAGGAGGGGAGAAGGGAAGAGGACGGGAGGGGAGAGAGAGAGGGGAAGGCGTGAGGAGAGAGAGGAACTGGGAGAGGGGAGGGTGGGAAGGGAAGGGTGGAGGGGAGGGGAGGGTGGGAGGGGAGAGGGGAAGGAGGAGAGGGGAGGGAAGGGTGAGGGGAAGGAGAAGAGGGGAGGTGGAGGGGAAGGGGGAAGAAGAGGAGAAGGAGAGAGGAGAGAGAGAGAGAGAGAGAGATGAGAGAGAGAGAGAGAGAGAGAGAGAGAGAGAGAGGAGAGAGAGGAGAGAGAGAGAGAGAGAGAGAGGAGAGAGAGGGGAAGGAGGGGAGAGGGGAAGAAGGAAGAGGGGGAGGGGTGCAGTGCTCGTTGCAGGCGCCTTTCTACTGAATATTTATGTCAGTGGCAGCTTCTCACCGGTGATGTGTAATGTATGGGAACTGGAGTCAGACCCTTTGCATCAGGAGAAGGGAGAATAAGTGTGTGTTTGGAAGAGAGGAAAAGGAGGAGGGTGCATAAAGAGAGGGGAGAGAAGGGAGAGTGGGAAAGGGGGAGGTGAAGGGGAAGGCGGAGAGGGGAAAGGAGGAGGGTGATGAAGGGGAGGGG